GACTATGTCGTCGAAGATGATAGGCGTTGGTGTGGTGTTGATGTCATTTTTTGTTGTGGTTCTAGATTTGAAGCAAAAAAATGACTAAATCTACATTCCGATGAAGGTTAAGCAGCCAATAGCGATGTTGTTGGCGGTGTTGTACAATCGCCGGAGGGTATATAGTGGTGGTTGTAGAAGAAGGAAGTCTTTAAAAGTTGAGAGGATTTTAGAAGTTAGTGAGAAAGATTGAGAATATGATGCCTTGTAAGAATGTTCATATATGATTTTGTATATGGATTGATCTTAAACATAATGTTAAATGTAAGAAAAATGTATGTTGACCAATATACCCTTAATGAAAAAGGTTCTTAGATGTGTTCTTAACCTTTAGAGTTCTCATTTGATTATATATATATATATATATATATATATATATTGTAACGCCCCGATTCTGGTATGTTATTTAATATTATTATTTAATCAAGTTTCAAGAGGGACTCGAAGAGTCAGTAGCCCGACTCGTCGGGTAGAGACGGGATTTCGAGCACGTTTGAGTTGGCGACTCGGCGAGTCCTTCAGTCTGAATAAAACCCTAAATCCCCAGGTTTTGCACCCTATTTAAGCCATGTTATGATCCCCAACCTCATCCCCTTCACCCTCAGAGCATCATTTAGCAAACCCTAACCTTTCTTTGAGCATTTTGAGCATTTATTGTGTGAATCTTAAAGTTTTGGAAGAGAAGAAGTAGCTAGATCCAAGGGAGTAGAAGAGGTCCAAGATCTTGCATCTATTGCAGAGTTATTGAGGTAAAAATCCAATCCCCCTTTGTTGCTATGATTGATTCTCCTTTTTTGAATCACATTTAGGCTATTTTATCCATTCCTCAACTTATTTATGGTAAAGAAATCACATTTGGGTGATTGGACTCCGGGTCTAGCCATGTTTCAGCCCCAAAGTCGTGGATCTAACACCTTTATGTATTTATTCTCTATTTTAAATTTTAAATTTAAATTTTATATTATTGTTTTCATTAATTCACAAATACAAAATGTCTAATATATATTAAAAATTAATTTTACATATTTATTTGAATCAACGATTATAATTTCATATAACTAATAAAAACATAATTTATTTATAATAATTGATTAATAATTTTGAGTTTTTACTATAAAAGTTTAATTAATTTTATAATCGTGGTTCCCACGGGTTATAACCTAATATATATATATATATATATATATATATATATATATATATATATATATATATCATATTTTAATAAAAGAATAGGTTGATTGTCCTTTTGCCACGTGTCACCTTATTAGGCATCATAATTAATATTATTCACATTTCAATCTATTAATTATTCATTTCAAATTTCAAAATTTAAATTTTCCACTCTAATTACATTAAATTAAATAACATTAAAATTAAAATTAAAATTAAAATTAAAATTAAAATTAATACAGATTATAAGGTCATGTACTTATTTAAATCAATGATTATAATTTTATATAACTAAAAAATATCTTTTAAATAATAATTTATTTAAAATAATTGATTAATAATTTTGAGTTTTTACTATGAAAATTTAATTAATTTTGTAACCATGGTTCCCACGGGTTATAAACTAGTATTTATATATATATATATATATATATATATATATATATATATATATATATATATATATATATATATATATATATATATATATATATATATATATATATATATATATATATAGGTAAAAGTTGAAATGAGAACAGGAATGGTTAAGAACTTTAAGAACCAATTATTTTTAAGTTATAACTAAGAGAATTTTAGTATTTTATAATATTTTGATTTTTTTTTAATTTTGATAAATGTCCAAAAAATAATAAGGGTTTTTTGGGCAACATCACTTCATCTTTCTAACATAAACATCACCAGGTCTTTCTTTCACCTGACTTCAAACATTTCTTCCTCTTTGCTTCTTCCTTCATCAGATAACAACCACCATTTTTTTTCGCCCTTATGATCGGTGACTTACCACCTCCGTCTCCTTTGTCGACAGCACTACCACCACCACCGTCTCATCCGACGACGTTTTACCGTCATCTCCTCCATCATCATAAATCACAACCACCTTCCCCGATCTTCAGTGAATCTCCAGATCTGCATCAGATCTCACAAGATCCACATCATAAATCACCAGATCTACATCAGATCTCATAAGATCTCAGGTGAAACCGACCATCGCTAACGATACCACCTTCTATTTGAGATTTCAACATCACCATCGAACCTCCGACATGTACAATTGCCATTAAGGCCGACATCGGCATATTACCACCTCCAGTTGTGCCATCACCATCGTATCTTCGTTGCCCCTCCAGATCTGCTTCACCTCCGTGATTTTGTGTCGATTTGTTGTTCATGCTCGCGATTTCAAATCTGATATCCTTCAGATCTAGTTTGAAAACCTTCAGATCTAATTCTCTTCATGTTCTTCAAGTCTAAAACCTTTGAAGATTGTCTGTTTATTTGGATTTTGTTCTGCGTTTTGAAGCATGCTCGCAGCTGAAACCCTAGTTGCTAAAAGATCTAAAGAAATCTAACATAGCTTCGATGAGATTGAGACCAGATATGAGACCGCCGTCAACCGCCACCATTTTTGTTGCTCCGTCGCTCTGTGAAACACTGCCAAATTTCTTTCATCTATTTATCTAGAATATCCGGTGAAACACATCAGGTATGTCAATTTTTGTTTACTCTTTTTTTCTTTCTGTTAAGTTGTGAATTTAATGTTCTAATCTCTCATTTGTTGTTTACTTTTGTTAATCATAGTTTTTTCTGCTATTAAGTTGTTAATCCATGTTTATTCTCTTATTTGTTATCATATTTGCATCAAATTTGTATTCACAATTTATGTTCCATGGATATTAAGTTGTGAATTCAATTTAGAATGTGTGTTATTATGTTAGTTTTTTCTTAAATAATATGAATTTTGATTTTCTTTAAAGCTTTGAATTGTGATGTTTTAATGTTTCAACTATTGTTTAGTTTTGTTTAAGTTAGTTAATGTGAATCAGTGAATTGATATGATTTTATATTGTGAATACTATGAATGAGAGTCCTAAATTTTTTTTATTAAACTGTGAATGAGAGACCTGAAATGTTCTATTAAACTGAAAATTTGTGTGGTATACACAATGTATCTGATGAAATGTTTCGGCACAGTCAATTATGTTTTAAGATATAAATATTGTGAACGAGAGACCTAAAATTGTTTTATGAAGTTGTGAATTAAATCTTTAAATATAATTTTTAAGTTTCGAATATGCTCGTTAATGTATAATTTTTTGTATAAAACTTTGAATTTATTATATTAAGCTATGAATTTTGTGTAATATTAAACTGTGATTTAACTGTATTAAGTTGTAAATTGACTGTAGTAAACTGTAAATTGATTATATTAAGTTATGAATTGATTGTATTAAGTTGTGAATTGATTGTATTAAGCTATGAATTGTTATTATTTTTTTGTTTGCTTTTGAAATATGAAAAGAGAAAAGCATTATATATATATATATATATAATTTAATATAATTTTAGATAAAACATATAAAATTTAAATTGTAAATATTGGCGTAACTAAACTTGAAAGAAACAATAGTGTATAGATAGTGTGAACTGAACTGTGAATTGACTGTATTAAGTTGTGAATTTTTAATGAACTTTGTGTATGTAAGAATGTATTAGTGTTTATAATTATTTTGAATTAAACTCTGAATAAGTGAATTAACTCTTTATTAAATAATGAAAATAGTATTTAAGTTCTCAACTGATGATTTTATATACCTATATGATTTAGAAGGAAAGATGATTGCGACGGTGGCACGAGTGGTTGATGGTAATGTGTGGTAGTTCACTACAAGAAAAAGACCCTTTTACGACGCGCAAACAACGACACTCATTGATTTATGCTACACAAAAGATAGTGACATTAAAAAAGTGTCATCTCTTCAAAAAATTTAAGCATTTAGGTCACGCATTATTGCGTGCCCTTAAATTAGTGTCTAAATAAAAAAAACACGGAGGGCACATGTGTGTCATCTAAGGATGTCGATTTATAAATTTTAATGGAACGCATGTTCCATCCTTTGATAGCAATGGGGGAAATGAAATTCTAAAAAAAATTAAAATCCTGCGTTTCATCCATCTTTTAGGGTTTCCATGTAAACCCTAGACCTCATTTGCATGTTTCGTTGTCTGATTGTTGTTTAGGAAGGAATAACGAATTTATCCTTTCCACCAGCCGACAACCTTCACTCTCTACTTCTCCTTTTCTCTATAAACCGTAGACCTCATTATGCGGCTGTAACTCTTCTTCCCTTTCGTATTTTTGGAGCTTGGTAGTCATACAGTTGTCAACAATGTCAACTATCCTCTTTTATCCACCATTTTCTCCCTCTGAGACGTTAAAGACACACCATCCCAAAATTGGAAGAACTAGGTCTTTTGTGCTCTGGATCTCAAAGGAAACAAGCTTTCCTCGTCCCCACCTTCACCCATCCAAATTCATTCTTCTTCAAATGATTATGTGTTCTTACTTGTCAATCGTACCTAAATCAACATCTCTGTCTCTCTTGTGTCTATTCTCTCAACATCTCTCTCACTTTCTTATTTATAGCCATAGTTTGCAAGCAAAAAGAAAAAAGAAGAAATAAAAGATGTGCCTATTATTCCTCTGTTTTGATCACAACCCTTCTTCTCCCTTCTTATTATTTCTTTTTTTTTTCGATTTGCAGGTGAGGGTGTCAGGTGGCGTTCGAAGGTTGTCAAGGGGTTGTGAGGAGATGATGGCTGGTGATTGTTCGTCTTCATTTGTATTCCCAGGTAAATTATCATTCCCCCGAAATTTAGGGTTCTAGGTTCATACATGCAAAGCAAACAACACACACCCATTGATTCATGTTGCTAATTTAGGGTTCTAGATGGGATTGGAATTCAATTTCATTCCATTTCCAGTAACAGAAATCACTTATACCAATTTCTATCTAGGTTGAAGATACGTAACAGATAAGTGATTTGATGGACTCCATTAAGGATTACTAGATGAACAATTTGCTTCTTGTGGTGTTCTTCTTTCTGTATAAAAACCAGGTTGTTTAGGTTCAGGTAACGGAATTTGACTACCTAACATAACAACCACCAAAGGCATATCTGGTCTATCTTCAGGATACTTTTGCACACATAGTAAACCTATATAAATTGCTTTGTTCACTTGCGTATGTACATATGAACCGTTAATAGTTTCATCCATCAGTTCTAATTGCTTCCCATTTTTATACAGCCTCCATGGCTGACCAAAATATGTCATGTTAATACATTAAAAAGTTAAAATATTTGAACACTTTTAGGTGTTGAATATTGAAACTTACATGTCCTAAAAGATTAAGATCATGATTTGCATGATGAAATCCTTTATTTTTCTTTCCATTTACTATCTCTAACACCAATACACCAAAGTTGAAGACATCAGATTTAGTGGAGTAAATCCCATCAATGGTGTACTCTGGTGCCATGTAGCCACTACAAGAAATAAAATGTACAAAAATAAATTAGTTTTTTATTAGGTGTAATTAAAGATAAAAGGTTTATCTGTTTATATAAGTTCTTACTATGTTCCCATTACTCTTCTTGTATTTGCTTATGTTTTAGTTCCTTCCATACTTTTTGCCAAACCAAAGTTTGAAATTATGGGATTCATATCTTTATCTAACAATATGTTGCTAGCTTTAAAATCCCTATGAATAATTCTTAATCTGGAATCTTTATGAGGATACAGAAGACCCCTTGCAATCTCTTTAGTAATTCTAAAGAGATTTTGTAGAAATTAAATCATTTATACATTGTGCACTTAGTAAGGAGTTGTTTCTTTTTAACTTAATGAGCTTAATAAATTAAACATTTAATATGTAGACATTAACCGTTTACCTATTTCTCTTTTTCCCCTCCCAACTTTTTTATGCTATTTGCGTGACAATGTTTTAGATTAAGAATAAATTACAAAATGGTCCCCGTGCTTTCGGATTTTCACCGTGTTTGGTCCAAAATTGAAACTTTTTTAATTTTTGGTCCTTATTTCAAGGTTCCATGAAGAAGCACGATCTCCCTTTGTGAAGAAGTTTAAAAACATTATTCATCTTGGAGAGGTATTCTCTATTTTGTTTATGATGTTTTTCATAAGATTAAGATTAAAAACATATTTATTTGACATTTAATTGTATTTATGAAGGTAAACTGCATCAGGGAGCTTTCTCAAAACAGCAAAATAGTAGCAACACACACAGATAACCCTGATGTACGCATTTGTTTTCCATTTTTCATTTTTGGTCCTTTATTTTATTATTTTTTGATGTATTCTTTTAGTGAAATATAATTTTATTAAACCAGGTCCTAATTTGGGATGTTGAATCTCAGCCCAATCGCCATGCTATCCTTGGAGCCATAGAGTCACGTCCTAATTCGGTAAGGATCACTGTAGACAATCACAATTCACACCACATTTAGAGTTATAGTGCTAATTTATGTACCTTTTATCTGAAACAATTACTATTTCTTTCAGACACACATGGGTGACTATCTCAAAGATGTGGCATTCTGTCATATCCAAAGGTTATAGATATAAAAGTTAAATCAGGACTTGAAGTTTCACTCTATCCTTAAGAAACAAGTTAGAATGTCAATTCACTTCATTGTCACTTTCATTTTGTTATTGATTTTCCCCTATTTCTAATATAAAATAGTGTTCTTAATTCTAATTGTATGTTTTTGACAAATGGAGATTCCATATTTGGATGAATGGGATCAAAATTAAAAGGATCATTCCATCTCCTTGGGTGGAGCTGTTAAGGTTCTGGAGTCTAGCTCTCTCTGTCTTCTAGTTTTATGCGGTGCAAAGGTATGATCTTCAAATCTTAATGATCTTCAACAGTAAAACTGTAGAAAAAAAATTGTTACACTCATTGATTTTACAGCCAGATGTTGATGTGATGCAGAGAATATCAGGTCTGGAGCAGCTGTTGATGTGATTCAGAGAATATCAGTCTCCATATGCTCTTTAGTAACTAAGGTGAAGTGGAACAACTAACTCTACATGAAACATTTTATTAAAACGATTTTTATAACAAGTGAAAATTTGAGACATCTGATTGTTGAGGTATGTATTGCAATGAATCTTTTGGACACATAAAAATCCAATTCACCATTTATTTTGTTTTCAGCAGCAACATACATATTGCACTCCATTATTCCTTTAAAAAATAGATTAGCACAATTGTACAGGGGTTCACTTCATAGATTGATTTCCTCCAATAAACTTTATATAACCTTGAACTATTTATTATTTGACTACCAAAGGTCATTGATTTCCTTTTATCAATGGCAAGGGTGCACAACATTCTACTGGACTCTAAATAATCAATTTTTCATGTTATGCTACTTGTCCATGTATAATCTTCAGGTGTTTAGATTGCAATTCTCACTATTTAACTTTGACCTCCTAAACTAAACATAAAATTAATATTTATCTTTTTTCACTTGAAACGTTTTCAACTTTTATGCACAAGTCAAGTGTTTTAGTTAGACACTCTATAGCTGATGCGTTAAAATTGTTGTATTCATTTAGGCCTTGTAGTATTCTATTTTTATAGACATGTCCTTTGATTCTATTCTTCAACATCTCCCTAATTTGAATCTCTATTTTTTTATTAAATATGATGCAAGTCATCATGTTGTTTTGATTACTTTATATTTTTGTTATTTTTTTGATTTGGTTCATGTGACTTTTGTTGAGTTTCTATGATTCGCATGGTTCAATGTTTTGCTACTACTTGTTCATTAAATATTTGAAGGATCTCTTTATTATTTTTCATTCTTGAGAACCAAAATAAAAAAGATACATATAATCTTCATAAGTAGCCTTTTCTGGAAGTAAAATTATTGTAGAGTTTTGGAACATTCCCCTATGAAGAAACCCACTACAGAAGGATGGATTATAGTGTCTGTAGTGAAAGAGAGCATCAGATAGGAGATGAGATTTAGGTAATTAATTAATTAATTTTTACTTAATTACTAATTTTTTTCACTGTAAGTTGTAAACAACAGAATTGGTAACCTCTTTTTTCCCTTTTTTTTCCTTGCCTTGCGCCTTGCTAGGCATTGACTTTTTAATGAAATGGCCTTTTTTTTTTTAAAAAAAATGTAGATTAGTATACTTGTTGAGCCTTTAAAACATTCATCAGAAACTCTGTTTTCAATAGAAGACAATGATGTTTCTGAAATGGACTTTTTTTAAAGTATCTATTTTTACAAAAGATAGTTGTTGGATCCATTAAAGAGTTAATTCACTACCACAATATTTGTTCATCTTACAAATGTTATTTCATCTTGGTATTGTGTAGGTTTTCCTAAGAAACTTGTGAAGCAATTGTGGAAAAATGCCTTATGGTGTTCATGCTTTGGGTGGAGTTGGAGAATGTGGATGTATTCCTGGTATATTTCATGTAGAGATCATATTGCATATTTTGAAATTCAGTTAGCAACAATAAAATCTATCTATCTTATTGTTGTGCAGTTTTGATGTTACCGATGTTGAGCTAAGTAGTGAAGTCTCACAATCCATGTCTGGATTAGTTAAGAAATCAAAACTACACCATGAATAAAGTTGAAGCTTCCATCTTTCTTCCTTGCTTGCTTGAGTAGGTTTTTTTTACCCTAATTAATGTTCTTAAAATACATGGATGTTAGTCATATATCGACTTTATTATTAATTTCTTGTGCAGACTGGTCATACCATTGAGAAACTGCGTGAACAAATGATGGAACTAATGAAGAAGATCACACATAGCTATTCAACTTCTATAACTTTCCTATATATTTTGGAAGGTCTACATTCTAGAAACAACAAGACAGAAATTGAGTGTACTAATCTTGTTGGATTTTTGCTTGATAACCATTACACCGAGGTATATAACTACATATGATAGTCCTTTCAATTAATGTGTCACACTCACACCTTATAGGCTTATAGCTGAAGGTTGCTCATGCTTTCCATGATTAGGGTGCAGATAAGTGGACATATAAAAATCCTGCAAATTGTTGCAAATCTAACAGCAGAATGAGATAATGAACTTAGAAAGACTGCACTAAATTGTTTTGCCTCTGGTTATAAGATTCTCGGTATGCTTAAGTTTACTTAAGGAGCAGATTTATGTAGAAAGGAATAATAGTTCTTTTTTTTGTTGGAAATATCGAATCTTATTACAATTTTGATTTATGGTGTTCTTTATAGCAATGTAGTATTAGGTTATATAGTTAGGGAAAACCTCTTAATAACAATGTACAATTGGATCCCCTTAATACCAATGTATTAAATTTTTTTGACATGATATTATGGATGAAATTGATTGTTTTGGTATATGTTTGTTTCCATATTTTTGTATTATGTATAAATAAGCATCGTAAAGATGCATCGTAAATGTATCGTAAATGGTTGCTTAAGTTTATGACATGCAAATGTGTGTCATCTTCATTTATGACAGGGGATTTAATGATACGCAATGCGTGTCCTAAACGTGCGTCGTAAGGTTACGACACGCAAATGCGTGTCATCTTCCTTTATGACAGGGGCTTCCTTGATACGCATTGTGTGTCGTAAATACGTGTCATAAATGCGTGTCGTCTATAGACGACGCGCAAAAGCGTGTCGTCTCTCGTTATGACAGGGTCTTCCTTGACACACATTTGCACGTCGTCTGAGCGTTTTTCGACACGCATTGTGCATCGTAAAAGGTTGTTTTTCTAGTAGTGGTTGGTTGTGATGGTGGTGGGGGAGTTTGAGGTTGATTTCTTTAAATATGTGAATTAGTGTATAATGGATTGTATTATGTTATTTTGTGAATTTTTATGTATTAAACTAAAAATAGACTGTATTAAATTGTATATTTTTTATAAAATTTATGTTAAGATATGAATGAAGGTATGCATGAAAATATTAAATTGTGTATTAGTAAATTATTATGTTTATTAAACTGTGAATATTGTATTATAAATTGTGAATATTGCTTATACACGATATATTTTTTTAAATAAAATCTACAATTTAGAAAAATGACAACTGATTTTTTCAAGACATAATTCTATTTTTTATAAAAAAAAAATTGTATATTTTGGCTGGAAAAATAAAAAAATATTACCAAAGAAATGGAAGCTACAGTGTTTGTTCTATTAAACTGACTAGAAAAATGCTACTGAATTTAACGTTAGTCCGACAGCGGTCCGACAATGATCAGATGGTGGTGGTCCGAAGTGACAAGTAGTTTGTAAACTAGGGAATGTAAAAAGTTTTGTTTAATACAATATAAATATTGGATTTGTCTAAAATATCCTTAATGAAAACATTGGGTTATTATTTGAACCACTCCCAAAAAAAATTAAAAACCATCTGACCATTGTGGTGGAATTCACATTCAAAACACGAAAACAACAAAATATGGAGTTAAATTTCGAACTTTGAGATTTCATCTTCATGTCACTATTTTCCTACAGACAAAAATCACCTAAATAAATATCTATTTCATTCCTCGGATGTCCCTTAATATATTATAGTTGTCATCTTGACCTTTACTGGGTTAATAAATATATCAACATTATTTAATCAAATATTAAATACGACGTATATCATACATGGGGCTATAAAACTATATTTTAGGATTTTGTTGAAAAACATTCTACAGCCAAAATTGAACAATAGGTGCAAGAGCAAACAATTAATACGTGATAAGGACATAAGGTCCACAAGGATAAAGATAT